CTGGGAACCTCCTGCCCCTTGGTTACCAGCCTCCTCCTACTAACTTTCTTGTTCTGTTTCTGTAAAATTCTGATTCAGCTAGGCTGCCCCCTCCCCTCCCTAAATCAAGGTATAAAGGGAGATCAAGCCCGTTCCTCGGGGCGAGAGATTTTGAGCGTTGGCTGATTCTCGGTTGTGGGCTGAATGAAGGACTCATAATTTGAACTCAGAGCGTGGCGTTTCCTTCTAGCTCGCTTGGTTACAATGCACCAAGGTGCTGCCTGGGATCCCGCTCGCAGGAGGCTTTTGCAGGTCTGTCTGATCACTGCTTCCCCAGGTCCCCATCCCTGTGCCCAACCCTATCCATCAGCCCTGGAATCACTCTTCCAGTGGCCACTTGGAGCCCTGGTCAGTGCCTTCACATAAGTGCCCCTTGGGGCCATGGCTGATGCCCCTTGGGGCCATGGCCCGCTGCCAGGCTGCAATCCTGCTCCAAGACTTCAGCACTGCCACCCTTCCCACCTCCACGGGCCTCCAGATTCAACCCCTTTCCTGGAGGGCACCCTTGACCTCTGTGACTTTGCTCCCTGCAAATTGCCCCCACTCCCCTCTCTACTGCCCCCTCAGCTATGGCCTGGGCTCTTGGGGTGGCTGCCCAGAGCAGGCTGGGGCAATGTCTCTGCCTTCCACTTGAGGAACTAGGTGCCCCTGGAACATTTATCTTCATCACACAGGGCAGCAGGGGCAGCAGACCCCGGGCAGCGGGTCCCAGGAAGGGTGGGAAAGGGGCCCAGCTCACCTGGCCCCTCACCTGCCCTTACTGCCCTGCCCAGCACCTTCCCTGCTGTGTGTTCTAGAGTGGATTGTCATCCATTCCCTCCCCGCTCCCCTGTGATGAGAGTGAGCCAGGCAGGCCACCGGTTGCTGCCCCTGTGGCCCCCATCCTAGCTGATGCCCACTGTGCCCCCATGCACACCCACCCTAGCTGATGCCCACTGTGTCCCCATGCACCCCCACCCTAGCTGATGCCCACTGTGCCCCCATGCACCCTCACCGTAGCTGATGCCCACTGTGCCCCCATGCACCCCCACCCTAGCTGATGCCCACTGTGCCCCCATGCACCCCCACCCTAGCTGATGTCTGCCGTACCCCCAACCTGGGCTCCTTAGGCACCTAAGAGGTCTTCACCCCTGCTTCTGCCCCCACCTGCCTTGGCCCAATGGGCAGTGAGGCTGGGCAGAGGGATGAATCCAGGACCCCTTGGAGGGACAGAAGCTGGTAGGGTTTCTGTTGGTGGCCAAGGGCAGTCTCCGGCATTATCTCCAGTGACGGTCTCATTGGTGTTCCCAACACACTGAGAGCTTTGACAAATGTACGCGGCCCGGACATTGCTTGAGTCTGGGCTGCCAGCAGGACCTGCAGGGGTTGGTGAGCTGAGGGCAGGGGTTGGGGGCGATGCTCTGAGGTGGAGCTGCGATGGGGCTGGGGACGGGAGACAGGCAGCTAGAGCTGGCTCGGGCTAGGTTTGGGGAGTGGGCTGCCCGGGACCCACACTCTGCTGGCTCCGATTCCTTCAGCTAGCTCATCTCTGAATGCTGCTTGACCACAGGCTGGGGATGGAAGGATTTCCCTGGGGAGGGGATTGGAAGGGGCAATGGGGCTGGGAGGACAGACTCCATAACAGCTCCCACTGCCTAGGAGTTAAGCTTCATGGAAGCCTAGTGTGGCCTCCCTGGCTTTTCATCCAGCCGTGGGTGCTATCAGGCAAGTATCTTAACCTCTCTGGGCTTTATTTGCCGGATCTGTTAAATGGGGATAGCAGCCCTTCCTCATAGGGCAGTATAGAGTCAATGAGATTAACACGTGAGGGGCTTAGCAGCACGGAGGCCCGGTAAACAATCAATAATGACCAGTGTTGCTGTTAGCAAACTGCAGAAAGCGTTCCCCTCTGTGTTTGAGGCACGTGTGCGCAGCTGAGTTTGAAGTCAGTTGGCAGTTTGGATAAGGAGGTTCTGAGATCGCCGTGGGCTGCAGGCCAGTGGCACTCTCCCTGGTGGGGTGCAGGGAGGCCCACCATGGCTGAGGGTGGCCCTGGCTGAGCTGTCTGAAGTTCAGCAGCATTTTAAGGAGTGGAGGATGTTGGGAAGCTGGGGAAGGAGATGCTGGATCCACAGAGCCCCCATTGCTCCCACCCAGCTGGGCTCAGCTGCTGGACATGGTGAGGCCATTTTTAGAGAAGTCCCATCTCCACGTGGGGCATGCCCCAGATCGGCTGAGGCCCTGAGGCCTCCTTGCTGCCCTCTTGCCACAGGGCTTTTCATTGGTTCTGGCCTCCCAGAACCCAAGCCCCAAAGACTTCAGTTCATTGAGGGGTGAAAAGAGCCTTAGACTTGGACCAGACCTTCAGTTTCAGGGGAGCTGCCAGGCTTGTTTCTCTGGCTGCAAAATAGGTGGGTTACTACGTCTGTGGGCTAGCTGAGAATCGGAGGACAAATGGTATAAAGGAGTCTGTGGATGGCAAAGTAATGTACAACACCCACAGTGAAGGTATTATTCTGTGGATTCTTCCCTCCGAACACGTGGTTTTCCCAGATCTGACTCCACACCTAGTCCTGGTCCCAGGACAGTTGAGCCATCAGTAGCAGGGGGCCAGAGACAGAGGCCTGGAAGGGAGGCCGAGGACCCCTGGGCAGGGGCTGTGTTGTCACAGTAAGGAACGGGAGGGGAGGCTGGAACGGCACCCAGGCGAGCAGGGCTTTTCCTCCGCTGCTGTTCTGTGCCCATGAGGGAGGGTGTCAAGGAGAAATGGGCTTAGGTGGGGGCAGCATTCGGGTACCGCAGCCTTTGGGCATGGCGGGGAGAGAAATTCTTTCTGGCCTGAGGTATTCTGGGTCTTGGAGGGCCCCCAGTGACCTCCCCACTACTGCAGCTTGGAGGCCCCAGTGGCTCCCCACACTTTGTGTAGTTGTATGTGTGTTTGTGGGCTTACCGCATCCTGCCCACTCCTAGAGGGGCCTCCCCACCCCAAGCGGAACCTGAGCAGAATGGCCCAGATGCCTGGTCTCCAGGCTGCCTTCTCTGAAGGGGCCGAAGCCCAGAGCAGACGTCTGCCCTGGGAGGTAGAGCTCTGGGCTTCTGGGCTGCAGGTTTTGAGGCTCAGATGTTCCCGGGTGTGCCCCGCAGCTGCTCTGCCCTCAGATTCTCTGAATGGGAGGGAGCCCAGGCTCCATCTGCCTGCCCAGTGGTTCCCTTTAGCTTCTCCCATGACCCCCCGCCTTGTCTTGGAGCTGTCCTCTTGGTGGCTTTCCACAGCCAGAGACTCTGAGCTTTGTGCTTTCTTGGGGTCCCTGGGGTCCCCCTGGGATGGCTGCTCACCTCCCACTCACCCACCGCCCAGCACAGTGCTGAGTGCATGGCAGGTGCCCAGAGGGTGCCTGGCAGCATGATCAACCAGGAGGTCCATGCTGGAAAGTGGGGTATGGCCTGGCTGAGCTTGTGCACACCTTGTCTGTGCTGTCCCCTCCCCATCTCCCCAACCCCTGCCTTTTTGACTCCTCCACCCCGGGTGCGCCCCCCATCCCATCCCCACCAGGGTTGTCTCGGGAAAGCCTTGCCTTCTCACCTTTCCCCGTTCACTGGGTGAGAGGCAGTTGGGAAGCTGTCTCCGTTGCAGCCACTAGAGACTCAGGTCACTTCTGGTCTCTCCAGGCAGCCAGGACCTTTTACTGGGGTTCTCTCCGCTCCACACAATACCTCCCCAAGTTGCTCTGGAACTCTCCAGCCTACCTCTGTCATGGTGTTCCCAGGGTCCCCCGCCCCATCTCTCTACTTCAGGGCACAGAGCTTGGAGAACCGGTGGAGCAGAGTTCTCCATAGGGCCTTCGAGAGTATCCTTAGCTACCCTCTGGCCGAGGCCCTCCCAGTGAGACCTGCCCTCTCTCAGCAGGAGCTTTGGGGCTCTTGGCACTGTGTCGTCTGTCTGTTCCTGGTATCCTCACACTGTGAGCTCTTGTGTGCGCCTGGGTGCACGTGTGCATACACGCCCCCCACCCATGGGGCCCTCCTCCCTGGTTAGTGTTCCAGTGTCCCATCCACACCCCCTGCCCCTCCGATACAGCACACACTGGCTTCCACCCACCTGTGCATTCCTGTGCCTGGAACTCTCTGTGGCCTGTAGATGTGGGAATGCTCCCCTGGGAGCAGCCCTCAACCTGTGGCTGATGGGAGGTGGTGGATAAACACCCTGGCTCCCTCGCCCCCTCGGCTGGGATGAAGGAGGGCTTCCCCAGCAGAAGGGAGCTCTAGGCGCCCACAACAGTGCTGGAGTGTCGGTCCTGCCCCAGAGGCCACTCAGGGCTGTAAGCTCTGCCCTAGTTGGGGGCACTGAAGCAGGCAGGCGAGGGGAGCCCAGGAGTGTGCTGCCCACCTCAGAGCAGCACTGGCAGGGTCTGGGGCATACCTGGCTCTTGCTCACAGGCCACTGTGTCCGCCTTCAGCCCCCACCTTTGCCCTGCCTTCCTTGCCTGGCTTCACTCCCTGTCGCTCTCCCTGTATTCCCCTTCCCTCAAGTTCACACAAGAAAGATCAGGGTCTCGGGCATGGCCTCTTGCGGGGTGCAAGTGGAGACAGCTACGTTCATGGCCTGTCCAGCGTCCAGCGTCCTAACTCCACTTCCCGCTTCTCAGCTCAGCTCCTGCCTGGGGCTGGGACACACTTGTGTCCTTTGTTCCAGCTGTTCTTTCCCCTCACCCATGCTATCCCTCCTCTCCCTCCAATTCACCTCCTCACAGTGAGCTGTCCCTAACTAAGCGGGCCCTGGCCAGAGCCACCTGCTCCTCGAAGTGCTCCCTCCTGCCCTCACCCTTCTCCAGCCTTCAGGGGCTCTCCTGGCACCATGCGTGCTGGGGTTAGAGCGGGGCAGGGTTCCCAGCAGCACAGCAGCCCCTGGAAGGTGGGAAATGGCCCCACTTCTGTGACACACCCTCTCCATCCAGCCCCCGTGGAGTCCAGGCTTCACAAACGCTGGTTGAAAAGATAAATATTATTTATACCAGCCACCCACCTCACAGCCGACACCCTCATCTTCTAGTGCCCCCCGAACCCTGCTCTGGCTGTCCAGTCCCTCCGGACATGGGCAGCTCAGTGGGTGCTGGGCCAGTCACACCTGGAGTGTAAGCAGCATGCTGTCCCAAGAGCCACTCAGGCAAGGGCCTTCTCCTCGCTTGCTTAGCTAGTGGTCCTGCCCCAGAGGCCATCCGGGGCCACAAGCTCTGGCCCAGAAGCCGGGGCTCAGACATGCCTGGCTCTTGCTCACAGGCCACTCTGACCCTTTCAGCTCCCATCTACTCACAAAAGAGGAAACCCAGGGGCAGGGGGTGATGGTTGTGGGGTGAGGGTTAAGTGAGGGGAAGCTGGCCTGGCCTGCAGGGTAGTAAATGTTCAGGGTGAAGGCAGTGAGGCAGGGCATTGCTGGTGGCAGTGCCACAGTGCCAGTGAGGCTCTGGAGGCCTGGAGGGTGACTCTAGTGCTGTGGCCCCATGTCTGACGATGACACCTGACTTCTATCTCCAGGGTTCCTGAGCAAGGGCCCTTGGTTCCCAGTGGTGTCGGAAGGCATTGCCGAGGTTCAGAGGCATCATCATGGTGAGTCAGAGGCTGTCATGAGTTGCCCATGATGCGCTGGGGCAGCGAACAGCCTGCCCACAGATGCCGAGGGCAGCCCCAGGCCCCTGTAGGCTGGTCTTCTTGTGCTCTGGGAGAAGACAGCCTTGGAGGGACACGCGTGCTGCTGTGGGTGTCCAGCGCCGCATGTCCATTCATTCCCATGTCCCTTCTCCAGGGAGGATCGGGCAGGGAAGCCAGAGGCCCTGGGCCCGACACAGTCCTGTAGATGACTTTCCACTCATGAGCTAGAGTGCTGCACAGCTGCAGGGGGAGAGTGGAACCCCCAGGCCGTCAGTGCCAGCTGCTCCTGGGGTAGTGGGCATGAGATCTAACAGGTCGCCTCCACAGACAGGGCGGTCCAGGAGCCTGGTTGTCATGCCCCCAGCCGCAGCTCTTGGGGAGCTGCTCCGCAGCCTGCCAGCTCAGACTGCCGTGGACTGCTTGATGCTGTGAAAGCTGACTCGGGTGGGGGAGGTGGGGATGGACATGGCGCGAGCTACCCGGGCACGGATTGAGTGCTTGTCCTGCCACCGGTGCCACCTCTTCCGGATGGCAGAGCGGACCTGTGGGCACAGGGAAGAGCACAACATCAGCCTGGGGCTCAGGACCCCCCCTCCTCTGGGCTGTCACAGGCAGCTGTGCAGGTGAGCTGAGTACACGGAGGTCCTCAGGAGGGGCAACACTCACACCCTTAACACGGCTGCTATGCATGTTTGTCGGAACAGGTTTCTAAAGTGCACTGGAGAAGGGGTTTTCTTTTCCAACTCACACGAAGGCGCCATATGGCCTTTGCCCTGAAGGCTCCCTACCCTCAACCCACACGCATCCTCTGCCCAGGGCTCCGCACTTCCTGGTTCTCACAGGCTCATCAAGGAGGCTGGAGCCCTGGCTTTGGGACCGGTGCCAGCTGTCTCTGAGAGCAAAGGAGGGGCTGTCTTGTGGGAGTGGACAGGTGGGAGGGGCCGGCCTGGGGCTCCCAGCAGCATCCCCCTAGGAGGAGCAGGGAAAAGAGAGCCAGTCCTGGGAGGGGAGCAGAAGGCTCTAGAAAATCTCCGGCTCCAACAGGCTTCGCCACCCTGAGCCCCGAGGCAGGTCCCCGTGGTCCTCACCTCACTGTTGAGGAAACAGTAGAACACAGACACAAAGAAGCCCTGGGGAGGAGAGAGGAGGCGTCAAAGCCTGCCTGCAGGTGTCGCCCACCCAGCCTCTGGGCTGCCCCTTGCTTCTCCCTGGCCTCCTGCCCTCCAGGCCCCTGGTTGGGAGAATCCCCACCCAAGGAGTCACCAATGTGGCCCTCCAGGGCTGTACCTGGAAGGACTCCAGGAAGGAGTTGAAGTAGATGAAGACGACACGGGATACCTCATCCTCCCCGGGATTGACGAAGAACAGCATGTAGGTGATGCCCAGGAGGGGCAGCAGCACCAGAGTGGCCTTCACAGCCTTCCTGCGGTGGGGCAGGTGGGGAGGCTCGGAGTCACAGCCCACCCCAGGACAGAGCCGGGTCAGGGGAGGGAGTGGCAGGCCTCTGGCATGTGAGAGGCATGGGGAGCAGGGTTTCATCAGGAAGAACTGCCAGGCCTGGGGGAGGTGGTACCCGGTTACCTGTACTGAATGGTCTCAGATGTGGTGGACGCCCGGAGCTTGGTCATGAGGATGCGGACAATGTTGAAAAGGAAGATGAAATTGATCTGCAAGTTGAGCACACCAGTGGGCCGGAGTGTGCAAGAGGCTGGAACGCAGCCTTCTCAACTCTTGCCTCAGTGCTCCTGCTGTTCTCCCTCCTCCTCATGAGCACCTGCACATCCCCAGCCCATGCCCCCTATTTGCATGGCCCCCACCTCTAGGCAGAGGGGTCCTTTCCGTTCACAGTTAGCACTGATTGCCCCTCCCCACTGGGCTCCGTTTCCCGCCCCTACCCAGGTTCTTACCAGCAGGACCAAGATCATGGGGCCCTGGTAGATGTAGTCGGTGTACACCCCAGGCCTTTTGCCAAACCAGCACCTAGAAGGCCACAGCGGAAAAGGGAGGAGGGGTCATTTGTGTCCGCCTCAGTGGCATGGGGAGGGACAGTGCTTGGCCAGGACAGGACTGGGGCTGGAGGCCAGGAGGTAGACATTCCAACCCTGGCAGAAGGTCAAGTCACTTGATTCCACTGCCATGCCTCAGTTGTCCCATCTGCAGAATGGACAGCATCCTCTGTGATGACATGCAAAGTTGGAAGCAAGCACCGGGGCAGGAGGGGGACAGTGGGAAAGACTGAGTGGCCGGGAATGGGCATCGGCCCCACACAGCCTGCATCTTCAGCTCCCTCTCACAGTCCCCTAGCTGTGGCTGAGGCCCAGCATGGCCTCTGGGGGGCTGCTGGTGGGAGTGGCACCACACCTGTCACCCAGTGGGCACCCAGCAGTTCACAATCTCGGCCTGAATCTGTCTAATCGCAGCCTAAACGACCTTGAGAGGAACACGTGCACAGCTTCCACCTGCTGCAGGAGGTAATCGCTTTGCTTTTTTCCCGAGAGTCCCTCCAGCAAGCTCCAGGGAGGCCTGGGGACCAGACAAACTGGAAGCCCGTAAGTCCTCGTGGGTATGAACCCCCAGTGGCTAGATCTCAAAAGCCAGAAATTGAGATATGTAAATAAAACCTTGGGACTTTTAAAGATTGGCTACAAAATGAAGTTTTCAGAAAACACCATGCCAGCCAAACACAGCTTCTGAGGGCCAGTCCAGTCCCAGATCCTCTCTGTTGCAGTGTTGAATTCTCACCACCAGGTGGAGCTTCAGAGCCGCTCAGACCCCCTTTCTCTTTTAGCTCAAACCGTTTTTGTTTTGCTTTGTTTTTTGAGAGTTGTGGAGTCTCGCTCTGTTGCCCAAGCTGGAGTGTAGTGGTGCAGTCTCAGCTCACTGTAACCTCTGCCTCCTGAGTTCAAGAGATTCTCCTACCTCAGCCTCCCGAGTAGCTGGGGGACTACAGGCACGCAACAGCACACCCTGCTAATTTATGTATTTTTTTTTAAGTAGATGTGGGGTTTCACCATGTTGACAAGGCTGGTCTGGAACTCCTGACCTCAAGTGATCTGCCCGCTTGGCCTCCCAAACTGTTGGGATTATAGGCGTGAGCCACCTTACCTGGCCCCAAGCATTTTTTGAAACCAGTTTCCCCACCACCTCCTGTACTCGTACACATCTGCGGGCACCGCCACTCGGGATTTACAGTGCTCCTGCTCTGGGACCCAGGCCTTCCATCCAGGCTGGGCCCCCACCTTTCTGGCTGTGCAAATGCAGTGAGAGCCAGCCGGGCCTGAGTCAGGAAGGAGTCACCCTCATAAACATACAAGATACTCTTCCAGGCTCCTCCTCCAGCCCAGTGGTTCCCTCCATGAGGGAGGAGAGGGCTTGTCACTGTGATGGAGGCCACTTGGATTCCAGGTCAGACAGGTTCCTGGAAACACTTTGTTTGGCAAAGAAGATCCTGGGGCTCCACTGCTATCCATGTCCATCTTTTCTGCCCCCCTCTCTCTCAGTGGTTTTCAATTTTAGCTGCACCTTAGAATCACCTGGGCAGTTTTCAAGAATTCTGGGTGGCAGGCCACACCCCAGACCAATTACACCCAACTCTCTGGGGGCGGAACCTGGGCACTGGCACTTTTTGAAGCATCCCAGGTGATTTTAATGTGAGCAAGATTGAGAACTACTGCAGCAGAAATCAAGTTTTCAGGCACAATTGAAAACATCTGAGTCCGTTTCACAAGGAACCAAAGAACTTCAGAGCTGGAAGGAGCCTCTGAGATTATCTGGGTCCATTTCTATTAAATTCGCAGAAATCTTTTATTAAGACATCTTAATACAAATAGAACACATTCATACATCATTTGCTCTATGTGCCAGGAACTATTCTAAATGCTTAATACAGATTAACTCATATCACCCCACAATAGCCCTTTGAGGCAATAGCACTTCCATTTTACAGATGAGGAAACTGAGGCACACCGCAGTTATCAGTGCAAGGTCACACAGCTATTTAATGATGGAGCCATGATTATGAACCTGGGCAGTCTGGCTCCAGGCTGCTTACCGTGAAGCAGACAGAGGAGGCTGGGTCCTGCCTATCCAGCCCCACCTAGGCAGAGCACAGGCAGGGACCCTCTGATTGAGTCCAGCCCACAAATCCCTCCCTTTATAGATGCAGAAAACCATGGTCCTGACAGGAAAGCCGGCATGACCCAAGGCCCTTGGGGACTGTCACCAAGCTGGGCTGGGAGCCTAAACCTTGGGGTCAGGAAGTGAAAGGAGGTGACTTACTTCTCATTGTCGTAGTACAGCTTCCCAATGGCCCAGGCCACAATGATGGGGAAGGGCACACCTGGGGGAGAGATGGGCTGTTACAGAGCCCTCATCAGGGGCTGGGAGGTGCAGGCCTGGAGGACCCCAGTGCAGCCCAGGCTCCAGGGGCCCTGGGGCTACCCAGGGTGGATCTCAAACTCACAAGCCTTCTTCAAGGTGCTCCTACTGCCCACCACCCCCAAGAGGAGCAGAGGGCTATGACGCGCACCCCACCACCTGAACAAGGCCTGTATCCCTCAGGCCCCCCAGCCCGCTGGCCTGAGTCTGGGCGAGGGAGGGCAGCCCAGCGGCCGTCACTGCCCAGGCCTTGAGGGAGGGTGCTGCGCAGCTCACCCCAGCCGATGCAGATGAACACCCACTTTCGCAGCCGCTCGGTGGAGTAGGTGAGCACGACGGCTGTGTGCAGGTAGCAGCCCTCACCGAACATCCAGAAGAAGTTGGTCACGTGGAAGTAGTTGTAGGCAGCTGTCACCAACCTGCACCAGACCTGCCACCCCACCCCCAACCGGAGATGATGATGGGGGCAGGGGCAGCACCAAGCCCTGGACCTGGGCCTCCCCCTGGCAGGACGGGGCACACCTGGGGTCCCACTCCTGTTCTGTGGGCCCTTCCTCTGCAGGGCAGGCCCACCTCTGACCTGGGCTTAGCCGGGCCTGCTCCCCACGTCCCCGCCAGGACATACCACGTTGCTTTGCTGGACCTCGGGGCTCATGGTGAGCTGGACCACGAACCAGGTGGCGTTGCGCAGGATGAAGGCGGAGATGAGGTTCCAGTGGATAATGTTTCTCAGGCACCGGATGCTCCTGGCACAGCAGGGCAGGCAGGTGACAGAGTGACAGGAGAGAGGATGAGGGGCAGGCTGTCTGCATCACCCTCGCCCAGAGGTGTACATGAGGAAACTGAGGCACAGGGTGAGGCCGACTGTCCAAGTGACACAGGGAGGTGGCAGCAAGGCTCTCCTGATGCCCCATGGAGCCCTTCCTGCCTGCAGCCCACCCAGATGTAAGCCCCACGCAGAGCCTGTCATGCAGCCTGTGCTCCATGGACCAGGGCAGCTGGCTTCCTGGGGATGCCTGCTTCCCCTGGGGGTGCCTTCCACTCCCTGCCATTCCAGGACGGACAGTCACAGGGGTTAGCCCTCCTCCCAGCCTCCAGCCCTGATGCTCGGCTCCTGATCCCACCGGTCCCCATCCCCAGCTCTGCCACCTGCATCCTTGGCAGTAGCGCTGGGGCCCAGGCACCTTTGAACCTGAAAAGGGGGCACCACTCCATGGAGCCTCCACCTCTAGGGCTCCATCTGCCTGGTCACCCCAGTGGGAGCAGCCTGGCCTGGGAGTGGGTGACACAAGACCAACTTTGTCCCTCCCCACCATTCTAGCAGCTATTGGGGAGGGGGAAGAGCGGCTCTGCCAGAGGTTCCCAGAGACCTGAGCCTCCTGGATAAGCCAGCCCCTGCATCCCCTCCCAGAAACCCCCACCCGACCCAGAGCTGCTCCCGTCTCTCACTTCTCCACCCTGCTCCTGCTCTAGGGCCAGAGGACAGGAGGAGGCACTGCTGGGGTCTTCTCACCTGAGCCGCAGAAAGAGGACAAAGGCCACCAGGAGGGCCAACAGGGAGATACAGTGGCCCAGGTAGTTGATGATGACTGCAACGTGGTAGTGCACCTTGCTCTTTTTCTGCAGCAGGAGAGAGGGGCAGAGGTGAGGCTCCTGCACAGCTCAGCCCTTGCGCCCACTGGGTGTGAGCCACTGTGTGAGGACATCGCCTGGGGGTGGCTGGGATGGAGTCGGGCATGATCTCAAGGGCCACCCCCCACTTCCTGAGTGCCTGCTGCTGGTCACGCTTCACATCAGAGCAAAGCCATCCAGTTTGACGCTCTGTCTGTCCCTGAATCCTGTGCTCTGTTCACTACTGCGTGTTGTGTTGAATTGAATCTCCACATCACGCAGGATTCCCCAGTCCACATGGACTCCCCTCCATGCGCACGAGTGCACGTGGCCAGCTCACAGGGGTGCCCTCACACCCGCATCTGCCCATGCTTCCGCCGGTCGGAACACCAGGTGGACCTCTCAGCTGCAGAGACGCCGTTCTCCCGGGATTTCTCTTCACCACCCATTTCTGAACCGAGTCACCATCTTCTCGGCACCCCTAAACCCCTCCTGCTGCTACGCAGCCTGCTCCTGTGAGCGACGAGGGGCCAGGCAGCTGCTTAGAAATCAGCAGAAACCACAGAAAAGTCTCTTTAGGCTCCATAACTCACTTCCCAGGGCCTTCCCCATCCCTGGCCCAGCGGGATCTGTGCAGAGTCAGCCGATCCTCTCCTGGGCCTGGAACACATTCCTCGGTTTATTTCTGAATGAATTAAATATACCGGTGGAGGTCACTGCCCTCCTCTTTCCAGCAATCTTAAGTTCCAAGAGTGATGAAGCCTTCCCACTTAACAGAGGACTTTCAAATCTGTCATCGTCTTAAACCGCCAGGGCAACCCCGTGGGGAGCAGGAAGGGCATCTGGGCTTTATTTTGTAGGTGAACAGCACAGAGGCTTTGCAGATGCCCTGGAGGTTGAGCAATGTCAAAACCACCTCCTGCTTGCATGTGCGAACTGGCAAGATGTGAAGGCTGAACCAGGTCCCCAGCCCATCAGACGGCACTGGCCAGTCCCCATGCCCAGCTCTCTGCAGACACCTGCCCAACAGCAAAGCCCCCACCCACACTCTTACAGGTCCCAAGAAGCAAGCAGGGCCTGGAAACTCAGAGCTTGATACGTAGTAGACCTCCGAAGCGGTGTGTGAGTGAAGGAAGGAGGGATGGGTGTTGGATAGCAGGTGGCTTTGAGAAGGGATGGGTCCCTGGCAGGACCTCCCTTCCTCCCCATTTCCGGGCTCTGGGGCGGGGCTGACAGATGACGAGGCACAGAAATGGGTAACGTGCAAGCGCCCAGAAGCGGTGAGCTCACAACGGCCCGCATCATCCTCTCAGAGCCACCAAGGAGCTCCTGGCCCTTCACGAGCCTTCCTGTCAGAATTACAGAACCCACGAAACCAGAGACCAAGTCCAGCCCTATCTACCAGGCATCCCAGGAGGAGCCAAGGCCCTATGCCCAGCTCTGCTAGGCCGCTAAGGCCCTTCTAAAGGGGCATCCTCACTGGGGAACCTCTCAGCTCCAGAGGCTCCTATAGAAACTGTTCTAGGAGCTGGTTTCCAGGCAGAGGCTTCCTGGAACATGGCAGGAAATCACATTAGCAACTCCAGCCTTCAAAAGGCTGGGATCCAGGGAGATGTGAACGAAGGCAGGAGAGAGAGAGAGACAGACAGGGGAAGCGAGGGGAGGGTACCTATCACCCACCCATGCAAGCGGGGAGGATCTCTAAGCGCCTGGCGGCAGAGGTCCCAGTCCAGAGGCTGTGGAATATATGCACATATCACAGGCTGTCTGGAGCTGGTATTTAATATCCTTTTATTAAATTTCCCACAAATCCATGCTGAGAAGCCCCTGGGTAATGACAGCATGCGTGGAGCCGAGCATGGCACGACACCCAGCCTCATTCACAGGCCCAGGCTGGGCGGGATGAGAACAGCATGCAGGGAGACCCTTCACTGTCACCTGCCAGGGCCCTACCTCACTCCTGAGTCAGGCCACACCAAGCCCTTGGGGATGGAGTGGGGAGGAGTCATCTATTAAGCACCTGCTGTATGATGAGCCCTGTGCCAGGAGTTCTGCAGATGCCACTGCTTTTCTTTCCCACAGCTGCCCTTGGAGACTGCCCCTCTCATCCCCGTTCTTCCCGTGGAAGAGGCTGAATACTTGGCCACGCCATGTATCTAGAACCTGAGTCTGCCTGGCGTTGAAATCTCTCTTTCCCCTGTTTCCCTGGGACATTTCTTTTTTTGGGGGAGGGGAATGGAGTCTCGCTCTGTCACCCAGGCTGGAGTGGTGGGATCTTGGCTTACTGCAGCCTCTGCCTCCTGGGTTCAAGTGATTCTCCTGCCTCAGCCTCCCGAGCAGCTGGAATCACACGCATGCGCTACCACCCCGGCTTAATTTCTGTATTTTTGGTAGAGATGGGGTTTCACCATGTTGCCCAGGCTGGTCTCACACTCCTGAGCTCAGGCAATCCGCCCGCCTCTGTCTCCCAAAGTGTGGGGATTACAGGTGTGCGCCATTGCACCCAGCCCCCTGGGACATTTCTTGGGGGACAAGCAGGAATTGAAAGCAGAGGCACCCTCTGGGTTGGTCTTGCTCCATTCTGGGCCCAGGAGCCTCAGGGGACCTCCCGTCAGGAGGATGGTGCCCACGAGGGCTTCTCTCCACAGAGCCTGAGAGGGAGAATCGGCCAAACCACTCCTGGGGGACGAAGACTCTGCGCGACTCCCTGGGCCGGGTTCAAGCCCTGTCTCTCATCGGCCACATCAGCATGACGCAACCTGAGAAGCAGCCTGAGAAGACAGCTGGAGAGACAGCCTGATAGATGGCTGCCGATACTCTGAGACATACATCCTGCGACACCCAGACAGAAGCCAGCGACACTGAGAAATCTCCAGTAACAACCAGAGCTCTGGCCGGCATTATCTAAAGAGACAGCAAGGCCTTAAGAGACTCCCAGGAACACCCTGAGAGGTGGCCAGTGACGCCTGGAGAGTCAGCAGCACCCCCAGGGACAGCCAGTGACACCCTGACCGACGGCCACGATGACAGCAAAGCAGCTGGGATGTCCAAAGGACACAGCCACCCCTGGGGCCCTGACCAGCACTCCATCTCCATCCAGTCTGGAGACCTAAGACCAGCAGGCACCCTACCCTAAGGAGGGTGGCACAGCATGGCACTCCACAGAGCCCACTCCGCTGTACCCTCAGTGACCCAAATTGAATAAGCAATTAGTGCCCTGGACTCTCTGCAGGACACCACCTTGTCCCAGGCGCTGCAGTGCCAGACCCGTCCTGATGCCTTGCTGGGACAGTAGCAATGAGAGCTCCCTCCCAAGTTCCCCCGGGTGCTCCCTCCATTCTGGCACCTCCTCTCCACCGAGGCTTCCAGAGCTACTCCTCTTGCCCCACAGCAGGCACTCACTCCAGCCCCTCGACTCTCGAAGGGCCCTGGCCCAGCAATGGCACGCGGAGACGCTTGCAGTGACGGTGAGGAGAGTGGCGGTATGGCCTACCCCAGGCCCGCAGAATCGGAGCTTTGTTTCAGGAAAAAGCACCTGCACAGTTCAGAAGCCCTGGTCCAACCACCGCTTGCCTCTCCCCACACGGTGAGCAGTGAACCTTAGCCTACAAACCCAGACCCCAGAATCCGTTTCATGTCCCACCAAGGTGTGGTCTCCCAGGCTGTGCCTGAGCCCGGCTCCTGTGCTCAGCAGAGCGTGGGGAAAGGGGATGGGGTGTGTGCAAGTGCCAGGGAGGGGGAGAGTCGGACGGTGGGGAAGGGAGAGAACATAGTGGAGGGGGAAGGTGCTGATACTGGGTGGGGGGACATGTAGGGTGGTACTGGGGGCTCAGTGCCATCCCCGGGCTAGCCATGCATGCAACAGGCTCTCCAGTTGGGGGCCTGTCCCTGGTGGTGCCAGCTTTGGGCAGATCTCCTGCGGTGTCTGGCCTTGGGGTGCCCTCGCAAGTCCCGTTTCACAGACAGGCTTCTGTGAATCCATTATCTGCAATCCCCCAGGGCGCTGGAGCTTAATTAGGGCTTAGTCCAAGTCCAGAGCTGAGAAACCTGCCACTCAATTCATTGGATACTTTTCCCTGCAGTTCCGGGAGGGGTCTGGCGAGGCTGGGGGCTGGCAGAAGGGGATGGCATTTTCACTAATTAAATTAATTGATTACTCAGCGTGCTAGGCACCAGGCCAGCAGGGGCTGCTGGGGAAAGAGGTGGCAGAGCCAGGCAGTGGTGGGCTGGTGGGGGCGGGTCTCTCCCCCAAGTATACACTAGGACCTTCCCTGACCTCACAGGGGAGATGAGGGATGGGGAGCAGCAGGTGAATGGAACGTCCCCCATACACCAAGACAGGCCAACACCACCCTCCCATCTCCAGGAGGCAGAGATCTGAATTCCTGGCTGTCATATTAGGGAACTTGGTGAGGTTAAGTAGCCTGCTCAGGTCACGCAGCAGGTTCCCATTGAAACCCAACCCCGAAGGTCCATGCTGTTCCCACTGCAATGCAAAGAGGGGCTGATGAGAGCGGGCTCCTCACCCTCTTCCTGGTCCTAACCCTGCTGCTGGAGAGAGGGAGAGACCCCTGTCCTGGCAGGGGTGGGTGTTGCAGGGCAGGCTGAGGGTGGCTAACCTACTGCCCTTGGGTCTCTGAAGGGTGTTGGGGAAAATGGGGGCTGCTGGGTGTCTCCATCAGCCAACTGAAAGAAGGGGGCTTACATTAGAGCAGCAGAGACGGGTGACCCACGAAGACCCCACTCTGATCCTCAGGAGGGTGGAGTGCCGGGTGTGAGGCCGGGACCAGCGGTGACAGACGGGTCTCCTCCCCGCCATCTCTTTCTGGCATGGTGTATGGTCCTGAGCCGCCGACAGCACTGACTCGCTTTCCTATCCTCCCACCTCCTCTACTGTGTGCCAGGCTATGGGTCCCACATCCCTGAACGGTCTTGCCCACTCCTGTCCTCCAGCCAAGGCCATCTCCTCTGGCCCAACTAAGTCTCCTAAACTGGAACTCCACTTCCTTCCCCTGGTCCAGGAGGAGCCCTCCTCCCAATCCCAGGGCTTTCCAGGTGGACTTTCTGTGTGGGGTCTTAGCAAGCTGCAGGCTTTCTCTGCTCAGGTCAGATCATCAGGGGCCCAACCAACCCACCCCAGCCTTGAGTGCCACCCAAGGGTCTGGCCTATGGGATCTGAGATCCAGGCAGCCCCCGCCCTGCCAGAGCAGCACCATGGAAGAACTCATCATTTGTTTACGCTAGGCACTGACCTATCTGCAGCATCTGGAAAGAGATAGCAGAGTCCCGAGTTAGCTCAGTGACTTGAGGCCAGGAAGCCAGGAGTGGGGGTAACCAAAGCGTGCGGGCTGGGGTGGGAGCTACAGGTGGAGGAAAGTGATTCTTTCTCTGTTAACTTTGTTTCACACCAGATACCCGGCAGTGGGCAAAGCAGAGCCTGAGCTTCAAAGCCCGGGGTTCTAGGCTCTGACTCACTGTGGCCGAATGACCTTGTGTTACTCATTCCCCTTTTCTGGTCCCCAGTCTCCTCTTCTGTAATGTGAACAGGTTACACTAGATTAGAGTTTCTGGCTTTTGCCCCATCAGAAGGCTCCCTGGGGGCACTCATTAAAGACACAGATTCCCAGGTCCTCCTTGGACAGTGTGTTTCTTAGGTGTTGGGTGTGGCCCTGGAGCCTGTATTTGGGCAAGTGCCCTGGGGCGATTTCTTTTTTCTTTTTTTTGACAGAGTCTTGCTCTGTCTCCTAGGCTGGAGTGCAGTGGCATAATCTTGGCTCACTACAACCTCCGCCTCTCAGGTTCCAGCGATTCTCCTGCCTTTACAGGCACCCACCACCACACCCGGCTAATTCTGTATTTTTAGTAGAGACGAGATTTCACCATGTTGGCCAGGCTGGTCTCCAACTCCTGACCTCAGGTGATCTGCCTCTGGGTGATTCTTATAACCAGGCAGGTCTGGGAACCTCAACATGGGAGGAAGAGTCTCCAAGTTCCCTTCCAGCTCTGATCTTTAGGTGATGGGTTCTTGTGGCTGCCTAGATTGGTGTGTCTCTTCCACACTCAGAAGTCCGGGTCCTCAAACAGCCTGGGGTGTCCCCTTTTCTGCCCTTTGACCCCTGCCTTCCTCAGCACCCAGGGAGAAAGCGTCGGGTGGGAAAGGAGAGGGAGTGGGAGAGGCTGAGGGCAGCAGCAGCTTCAGGACAGACATATTTGTGTCTCTGCCAAATGTCACCCTTCAAAGATTATTCATTGCAGCACCATTTGTAATAACCGAAGACTAGGAATAAAGACTGGTTAAAATAAATTGTGGTATATTTTGTGATATTATGCAAATGCAGAAAGAATGAAGATGCTCTTTATGTACTGATGTGGAACCATCTCCAAGACAGATGATTATATGAAGAAAGCAAGGCGTAGACTAATATGCAACATTCAAGTAAAAACAAAAAATAATACCTATATATAATTACTCGTATATGTAGAGAATGTCTCTGGAAGAACATTAGTGAAATTGGCAAAACAGTTGCCTCTGGCAGGGAATCCAGTGGCTGGGGACGGGGTGGGAGGGGACACTATATTCCCATTTGTACCTTCTGAATTCCGTGTAAGCAACATCTACTCAAAAACATTTAACATTTTAAAAGATTTTCCAAGGGCTTTTTTGACCTGCACTGCTGCCTACACCCCGTCCCTGGTTCCCATACAGCCCCATGGCTGGAACTGGATGTATTGCTCAGGCTCAAGTGGTGGAAAAGGGTGGGACTCCTGTGACCGAGTCTGGCCTCCCTTTGCACCCCCAGGACAGTCCCATGCCCAGTGCAAGCAGCTGCCCAATGAGCACAAGGAGAAGGAAGGAACAAGGACCCGTCTCATCGCCATCAGAGCCTGCCCAATGCCCGACTGGCCCAGCTCACTCTCAATGGCTCATGGGCCATTTCCAAGCCAATGGCTCCAGCTCCCCAGTCGGCTTTGCTACAACAGGGCCTTGACATTAGCCTCTGGCTCCCTGACTCCAAGTAGCAGGCACAAAACTCTGCCAGAGACCCTGGACCCTCCTCCATATGGGCAGCCTCGCTTGGCTCAGCCTCACCTCCTCATTGAGGATCTCCTGGCACTCGGAGTAATTCACGCGGGCGGCCCAGCTGCCGTTGGCCAGGCACTCCCGGTAGCCATTGTCTGGAAAAGGAAGAGAGAAGCAGCGATGGCAGAGCAGTCCGAGCCCCTGTCTGACCATCCTGGCCCAGATGGATGAATAGGGGGATCTGTAGATGGCCAGCCTTCTCTGCATCCATATAGGCCAGCACAGGCACCTGCTGGGTGGGGGCTGTGTGGAGTGAAGCTGCGGAAAGGAACTTCCTCACCCCGCCCCCATCTTCCTGACGCTTTTTTTTTTTTTTGAGACAGAGTTTTGCTCTTGTTGCTCAGGCTGGAGGGCAATGGTGCAATCTCGGCTCACCACAACTGATTCTACTGCCTCAGCCTCCCGAGTGGCTGGGATTATAGGCATGCACCACCACGCCCAGCTAATTTTTGTATTTTTAGTACAGATGGGGTTTCTCCATGTTGGTCAGGCTGGTCTTGAACTCCTGACCTCAGGTGATCTGCCTGCCTTGGCCTCCCAAAGTGCTTGGTTTACAGGTGTGAGCCACCGTGCCTGGCCCTTCCTCCCTCTTTCTACTCATTGGCCTCCAGCAGGGGTTGGTGGCTCCCCTGATTCCCACCTGTGGGCCATGGCTCTGCCCACCCAAGCTGGCACTATCTTGCCCACAGCATTGGCCTGGGGACAGGCTTGTCCAGCTCCCTGGGCTGTTTCCTTGCAAGTCCTTATGTGGTGGCGGATGACCAGGTAGGTGCTTTCCTGAGAAATCTCCTATTTGGGAATCTTGTAAGACAGCAAAAAATGGTGAGACCACATGAGGCAATTCTCACAAGGCTGGGCATGAGTGGTGGAAGGGTATGCGGTGACAGCTCAGGTGGCAGGTGACATGACGGGCTTCTCATGGTCGAGCCATCTGATAGATGTGGCCGTGGGAGGTCCTTACTGGCTGTGTTGCCCATGGGGGCTCAAAGTTCACGGGGCAGGTCTTGGGAAGGTCCCCAGGACAGTACTTCCCCACAGTGGGCCTCTGTTGGAAGGTTGTGTCGGGGGGAACATCCATGGTGGAGGTCTTTTCAACAAAAAATGACAGATGACAGGTATGTGTGAGGAGATCTCGTCACTCAAGTCTGCCACAGCTGCTCCTAGCCAGGCCCATGTCACTCAAGGAAGAAGGCAGGAGACATATGGGGGTTCATGCAGCCACCAGCCTGGACAGCGGCCCAGAACCTGTCACCTTCTAAGGAGATGGGGAGGAGCCCTGTGAGCTGAACTGACACCCAGGCTTTAGGGTCCTGGGATAGGCAGAGCTGCCCAACATGTTCCTCACCCTCCTTCCTGCCTACCAGGCTTGAGCTCCGGGGTCCGGAAACCCAGCTGGGAAGGGACAGAGCGAGTTCTAAATTCCATCTCATCTTCTCTGCTGGCAGAGGTCGCCCCACCCCACCCTGTACCCGGCTCTGGCATCAGTAGCTCTAAACATGCTTCCTTGAGTTAATTCTGGCTCTGACTCCAGGCAGAACTGCTTGGCAGAGAAATGAAGCCCTAAGCATTGCCACTGGAGCCTCCCTTACCTCAGGCCTTCCTGTGGCTTCCAAGCTGCCGAAGTCTGGGTGCTTGAGTCTAGAGCCCCATGGGGCAGAACCCTGTGAGGGTCTAGAGGCTGCGGCCCTGGGGCCAGCTCAGCTGCTGCTGTGCTGCATGAGTGACCTCGGGAACCTCCCTTCTCATTTATAAAAGGAGGAGCTAGACTGGCTGATCCCCAAGGGACCATCTAGCCTGGGAGACGCCTCTCTGCTGGCAGCATCCAGGCAAGAAGGTGATGACAGGGAGGCTGTCCTGGCCTCCAGGGCTGCAAGGTAGACGTGGCCTCTCCTCTCTGGCTCCACTCTCCTCCCTGGTCCCTCTGCTGAGGAGGTGTTCAACTGCAGCAACTAAATGGATTTTTAAAGCTCTTCCGTGTCAGTGGACCGCAGTCTCGGGGAGCCTTGGGCCTTTGAGCAGAGTTGGTGAAGAGGCTGCTGACTTTCTCTTAATTGCCAAATGAGGGATGAGTTACCGGAGGGCTGAGGCTCAGCCGCTGAGTTTTCACAGAGGCCTGAGGCGAGGCGGAGGCGAGGAACCAGGGGAACCATCGTCTCTGCCATGGCTGGGAAGTCCCGGGACCAGAGGTTGCTCCGAAATACCTCCAAGGAAGGTGGCTTGGGGACAGAGATCTGGTTGGAAGGGGCCCGGGACAGTGGGACGAGATGAGTGGTTCTTGAGTTAAGAGGCAGCATGGAGTAGTGCTAAGTGTGGGCCCTGGACCCGGGCAGCCTAGGGTCAAATCCTGGCACTACCTTCTACTAACTGTGTGACCTTGGGCATATCCCGAAACATGTCCGCGTCCTCCTCTGTAAGTTAGACGTCTGAATTGTGGCTCCTACTTCAAGAGTTGAGTATTTTTAGTTAACATGCACAAGGTGCCTGGAACTGCACCTGGCATGTGATGTTGGCTGTTATTTTTATTATTATTGTCTTGGAGCTATATTTATATAACCTTACAAGACTCAGAACGTGTCACTTGTCCCCATCAAAGAGTACCAGTGGATGTTGTGGGAGGTGCCCCCTTTGCTCGACACCCTTACCCCCTTGGCATGTGGGGGAGAGCCAGGAGTCCTGCCCAAGGCCGTGCCACCCAGAGGGAGCAGGCTTTGATGGGGAGAAAAGAGCTGATCCGAAAGCAAGCAGGCCCAACAAGCGGGGAGCGGTTGCCAGGGAAGATGCGACCTCCTTGTCTTTAATTGCTGAGCTGAGCAGTCCTCCCGAAGAATCACGGGAAAATGGATATTTTTGGAAATGCTTCCCATCCCTTTGAAGATGAGATGCAGCAGGAGGGAGGGCATTAAGGAGAAGGCCTAGAAGTCCTGGCAGCAACTCATCAGTAAATGGATTAATTAGTGCCTAATGATGAGGTGCAGCTCTGGGCACCCACTTGCAACTGATTGCCTGGGCGTGCTCCGCCTCATCTGGCGCCAGGGGCACCTGGAAAGGGGTCTTCCAGCCCTGCCCTGACAGACCCTGACAGACCCCCCATGTCAAGGGGCCATCACCCCAGCTCTTTCCTGGGATCACAGAGGGAAGCGTAGGGGAGCCTAGAGAGTACCACACCCAACCCTCCCACCCATTCTGCAGGTGGAGAATCTGAGGCCCGGAGGGGGCCTGTAAAAGGGCTCCTTAGCCAGCTGCAGATGCAGCGGGAATGAGAAGCTAGGACTCCTGGCTACCACTTCAGGCAAGACTGGTAAGTGGAGAAGTGTGCGCCCAGGCCCTGAGGTTAAAATGCTTATTTGGGGCATGTCAAGTAAGCCTTTGGAACGGGGGTAGAGGGAGCTCATGGGGGGTGACCAGGGCTGGCTGCAAAGGGCGACAGGGCCATGACCACAGAGTGCTTGGCAGGCCCCACCCAGGAGCTTGGGCTTGACCTTAGAGGCCACAGAAGGATGGATTTCAAGTGAGGGAGTGACTGACTCAGATCTGAAACCTGAGGCTGGGTGGTGGCACTGGGGAATGAGGGCAGGAAGGGCCAGACGCAAGAATCAATCTGGCAGTGGAAATGATGGGAACTGATGCCTCCTCCTGGAAGTCCCTCTCATGCACAGATGATGCCTCCTTCCTAGGGGCTCTGGAAGGACTCAGTCCCCAGCATCATGAGAGCTCTCATCTCTGGGTTGTGACCCTGTCTCCAGGCTCTGTGACCTCTGATAGGTTATTAGCCTCTCTGTGCCCCAATTTCTTTATTATAAAATGGGCCTGACTATATTGGGGGCTGGCCAACTGTGCACCCCTTGGACTGACCTGGCCAAGAGGCCCTTCTCCTCTTCTTCCTTTCTGCACCTCCTCCCCTGGGTCCCCATGCCGCTCCCAGCGTCTCTTCTCCCTCTCCCGGGTCCCTCCCCTGGCCAGGACATGGTACAGACACATGTGGCTGCTTGATCTGGCTGCCCCAGCCTCCTGCCCTGCCCTGGCCTCCCAGGTCACTCCTTGGGGAGTCACTCCCTGGCTGGGTCTCCCCATTCCTTTAAGGTGGCCCCCAACCTTAACCCCCTTAATCCATCTGGTAGAGGAAAGAGGGCAGGAAAAGAATTTGGAGTTTTGAGCTGGAAGACATCTTAGAAGCCAAGCCATCCAGCCCTCTCCATCTGCAGATGAGGGGCTGGAGGGCCACAAGGGTAAAAAATGTGCTGGGCGGTCACACAGTGAGTCTTGGAGTAAACTACATGGTGTCTGTGGTCACCCTGTGCCCTCTTGGGGTTCTGAGTTCAAGACCACCAGGATTCAAGGGTGTACACAGGGGGCCCCAATTGCAGGGATCTGGACCCCACCCTCCCCTTGGGTAGGTTAGGGCCCCTGGCCCACAGCTGTTGCTCTCTTGATAAGCAGGGACCTGAGTCATTGACAGGGGAGAGCAAATTAATTCTGAGAGTGGCAAGTGGAATAGCAGGGAGCTGCAAAGCCTGGCCGTGGGGGTTCCAGGCCTCCGGGGAGCCAGGTGTTTACATGAGGATCAAGTATCCGATGGACCCTGGGTCCATCCCATCCTGTCCCCACCCCACCTACGGAGTCGAGCCTCTGCCTGTGCGTCTAAAACTCTGCGTCCCCTGCCTCCTTGCTGGAGGGCCTGGGGTAGCCTCAGAACCTCTCGACTCAGGGTTCTTATCCACACAGCTGGGGCTCTGATGACTTCTGCCCTGCCTCATGGTATTACGGTAGGCTCAAACAGGCTAACGTGAAGTTTAACGGCAGAAGAAAGTGCCAGACAGACGTGGATGCAAATTCCATTTTCACCCTTCACCAGCTGGTGACGGGGCAAGCTTCCTAACCTCCCTGAGCCCCGGGGGCCTTATGGAAGGCGTGACAGTGTCTTGCAGGGGTCTTGTGAGAATCACCAGTAATGAGAACAGAACACCCGGGAGAATACAGCGCTGACCTCTGGAAAATGGGGGCTATCCCCACAAGAGGTATTACTGTTACTGTCATCATCATCCTCACTTCCCCCACCTCCAAGCTCTCCCCATCCTGTCCCACCTCCCAGCAGATGGCCCACCCTCCAACTTCTTCCTTACTTGTGGTGTTGTAGCGGACACCGTAGAAAAAGGCAGGGCAGGGCCGAACCACTAGCTGCCCTGCAGGGCTGCGGGGCCAGCAGGTGCCAATGAGGTCCACGGATGCGTTGCACTGCAGTCCTGGGGACAGAGACGGCTGGTGAGGCACAGCAAGATCCCCGGCCAAGGCCCCAGGCAGGTAGAGTACGTTCCAGAGTCCTGCCCACCTCCCCAATGGTTCCCATTCACACACCAACTAGGGACAGGATGACAGCAATGACCTCAGTGCAGAAATGAGCTCATCCTATGCAGAGGAGACATCAGGGGAAGAAATCTGAATCTGAGGCTATGGTACTAGGGAGCCAGCATGGGTTCCAGAGCAGAGGAGGAACAGAGATGGCTGGAGGTGGTGTTAAAAGTGAAGGTCCTGGCATTTAGAGGAAGCCTGGGCATGCTTCAGGTCCCCTGCTCTGTAGCCTGAGGACACTTCTTTTGGCCCCTCACAGGGTGACAGCCTGGAGCTCTGAAATGTCACAGGAACACTCTGGAAGAGGCCCAACCAACCACTGATCCAGCCCTTCACATGTCTCTGCAATCAAACCCTCTACCCTGGCCCTGCCGGGAAGAACCAGCCAAATGAAGCTGGTCCTTCCTCCAGCTGGCCCGCTAACCATGCTGACTGACCATACATCGTGTGTACTTTGTTCTGTGCCGGGCCCTAAGACACGACTGATGGAGAAGTGAGCTATGGAGGGGAAACGAGGGAGACGCCAACTGGGGGGGTGGAAAGGGCACTGAGCTGGGAGTCTGGCCCAACAGCTTCAGAATGGGCTGTGCCACTAATCTGCTGTGTGACTGTAGGCGAGTCATTTGCCCTCTCTGAGCCTTAGTGTATTATCTTCCTCTATAACAAAATAGTGGTTGAACCAGATCAGAAATTATTAATCTCAGCCCACTAGAAACCTCAACAGTTCCCAGAGACCTTGAACGTAATGAAAATATTGGTGTATACATTCATGTTAACAGGGAAAGGGGCCCATGGCTTTCATTAGATTCTCAAAGGGGTCTGTGACTCAAGGAGATATAAAAACCCGAACCAGAAAGAGGATGTCAAAGTCCCCTTCTAAATATTTGCTTTTTGGAGGGGGTGGGGGAGAGAGAGACAGACAGAGACAAGGAGAGAGGAGAGGTGTATGATGTATGATGTTGGGGCAGAGTTGAGGCCCCAGTGACACTTCAGGAGGGGAGGGGGATATGGCCTCCAAGAGGTGGGGGCTGGCACAGTCCTATCATCCCCCTGAGGCTGCCCCTTCTTTCTCTGCCTTTTAGCGCCTCCCTCTGAGTGAGGCTGGCACACCAGTCCTTTTGAGCCCCAGGGTCCCCAGGTTAATAACCTAGAATTGGTACAAGAGTGGACAGACAAGCCAGAGAGGGCCATGAACCATGAACGCGTGTGGGTTGGGGCAGCCTCTTCAGGCTTGGGCTGAGGCTTTAGCAGCTGCCAAGCCCTGGCTGGGGCCTGCCTGCCATCTCCTCCCCAAATTAGCTTGTCCCCAATCTCTCAGGAAGCAGTGCTGGGTTAAATTGGCTGCCTTTCCCTGCTGGACTCAGGGCAGTGCCGAGCAGCACTTGTACCAAATGCTGGCTTTCCTTTCTAATCAAAGCTATTCATAGGGCATTTGTGCAAATCAGGACTCAAGGGGCAGAGGCCTTCAGGCCAAGTGGCTTAATTGAAAGAGAAAGAAATCTGGATTGGGGCTTAATGGACACGAGGTGACTTCGGGCCAGCCGGCTGGAGAGGGCCAAGCCCAGGTGCTAGGCCACAGCAGAGACTGTGAATGTCATCACAGAGCAGCGGTGGAAGCTGAGGTGACAAAGCAGGGCCATCCGCGGCAAGGGCGTGCCAGGTTGGTTTTTTAACCTGTCCTGGATCCTGCTGACACTGCTGAGCCAGGGGATGGGGGTAGAGCGGGGGCATGTGGCTGTGGAGAGGGGAGGAGCGTATTAGGAGCCATGCCCTGATGTTTCAAAGTTCTTCTTCATCTATTTTGTTTGATCGTCATACATCCGGCAATGTCATTATTTCCTTTTTATAGATGAACAAATTGAGGCCCAGGGAAGTTAGGTGACTTTTCCAAGGTCACAGGTCAATGGGTGAAAGAACCAAGACTCATAGGCAGGAATTTTGGACTCTAAATCTAGTGCTCTTTCCATTACACCACAGTGTGAGTCAATCACAGAGGGTGAGGGACGGTTAAGGGGGCAGCAGGAAGGGAGCAGCGTTTGCTGAGGGCTGACCATGTGCAATGTCAGGCGGATGACATATGCCACCTTATTTAACGGCACCATTGTACCTTCCTAGCTTGCTCATTCACTCCTCACCCATTCATCCACAGAATCTAGTGAGCTAGGCTTAAACGGGATGCTCCATGTGGCACATATGGAATGAATGTACAGAACACACCCTCTCTGTCAGTTTGGCACCTGCCCTCCCTTCTTCCTTTCCCCTGCCAGTCCCCCAGATCTGCTTTTGGAAGGCACCAAGGGCAGGGAAGGACTGGGCACCAGTCGCAGCCAGGACCAGGCCAGAGCCAAGGCAGAAGTGGGCCACTCAGGATGAGCCTCCGGGCCTGGAGGACCTGCACCGGCCTCTGCTGGGAGCTCTAAGGGCTCTCACCAAAGGCCTGACCCTGTCCACAGCTGGCCCGGGATGTGGAGACCCTCAAGGGGTGGGCAGGTCAGAAGCCATTTGCCCCTCCTCCATGGTACGGTGCCCAGCCACCTCCCATGCCACCGTGGGTGTTAATTCTGTTTTACAGATAAGAAAACTGAGTCCAAAGCGGTCAAATGGCTTATTCCAAGACAATCAGTACCCAGAGATACTGAGGCGGGAGTGGATTTTCAATGCTCGCCTTTTGATGCCAGCTCAGGGCGCTGCCCACAGCTGCACAGCTGGCACCGATCTGGGCAGCTGCCTCTCGAGCCTAGAGCTGCGCCCAGTCTCGGTGACTCCAGTTCACCAGCAGCACCGCGCCTCCCTCTCCCTCCTGGACCCCGCGGCTCATAAGGAAGCGTGGAGGGGGCGCTGGAGACACAGCAGCGGACGCGACCTTTACGTTAAGGGCCCAGAAAATCCTGGAAGGAATTGAAAGTCAGTGTGAGACGGGAAGAAAGCGGGGGAGAGGCTGCAAGAACGGAGAGAAGCCAAATGAAAAGGGGCGAGGAGACAAAGTTCCCCCTTCCCCGAGTGAAAGGTCAGCAAGACCGCCGGGGTCTAGGGCTGGAGGGGCGGGGGGCGGGAAGGGGGCGTGGCCATACAGGGCGTGGTCATAAGCTCGAGGGCCAATCAGGAGCGGCAATCCGGCTCCCCGCGGAAACACCTGCAAGAGGTGCACTAGGGGTTGGCCACGTGTTTTTGGGAGCAGATGGAGGAGGGAGAGGCCGGGAGAGAAGAGAGGAGCAAAGGAAGGGTAGAGGAATAAGGGAGGGGACCTAGAGGCCAAGGGCAGGGAAGAGGCAGCAGGACAGGGCTCAGGCGCCACACTCCTGGCCAGTAGGCACTGTCCATTGGACTTCCCGGCCCGGGACTGCCTTGTGGGCTCAGTGCCTTCCCACAACGTGCTCTGCCTCGGGGTGTGGGAGCTCTAGCTCCCACGCTAGATTTCAGAGGGCCGTCCTGCAGACACAGGGTCAGGGGAGGAGGACAGTAGAGATCCCTGGGATCCGGTAGAGATAAGGCCTCAGAAGGGAAATGGTGCATAGGACTTGAGGAGGAGCATTTGTTGGACACTACTATAATATATACCAGGCACTGCGAAGGGTGCTTTGCATGATGGAATTCATGCCACTCATTTAAGCCACCCGACTACACTGAGGAGGAGAAAACAGATGGAGGAGGAGGGAGGTGGGAGGCCAAGTGGGCCAGGAGAGAGGTGGGGAGAGAGAGGAAAGAAGAGGGAGAAGAAGACACTAAGGAAGAAATAGGGAGAGGCAGGCAGAGAGTCAGGGGAGAGGCACACAGAAAGATCATTTAACGGGTGCTGGGGACAGGGTGTCTAGCCCCTAGTTGGGAATGGGAGAAGCAGGAAATCAGTTCTGTGTCACTCAGCTTGGTGGCTGTAAGGACCTCAAGTACCTGTAGGACTCTGATTCTTGGGCCAGTGTCCCCTCCCTCCAGGTCCCAATGCCAAAAAACCTGACCTCTTCTGCTCCCAATAGGCGGAGGTATTTTCCCACCCAGATGTCATAGTCCTGGGATGAGGAGCAATTTGGTCCAGAGTAAGTCAACCTTGCAAATAGCCAAGCCAATTTACCAGCCAGCTGCACAAAGGCAGAGGTGCTGTTAGGAGCCAACGCCTCCGGACAGCTCCCTGTCCCGCAGTGCCTCTCCTGGGCAGTTAAGGAATAGTGACTTTGCTCTTTAACAAGTACCGTTGGTTCTCCATAGCCACAAGTTTTGGGGAAAAGTGTACTGAACACTACAGACTTTTTTCTTGTCGTTATTCCCTAAACAGGACAGTGTATCAACTATTTATGTTTACATGACATTCACATTGTATTAGGTATTAGAAATAATCTAGAGATGATTTAAAGTATCCAGGAGGTTGTGCATAGGTTATATGCAACTACTACTCCATTTTCTGTCAGTGACTTGCTCATCCCTGCGTTTTGATATCCATGGGGAGTTCTGGAACCAGTCCCCATGGATATCAAGAGGCAGCTGTTATTTACTGACTACCTAAGAAATATTGAAGGGGCTTGGGATGTAATAATGAATAAAATAATGCCCTGTCCTCAGGGTGCTTACATTCTAGTGGGGAGACAGCAAACACATGCGCTCACACTCACACACACATTTCTGTTAACCAGTGAGAAATACCATGGAGAAAAAACTAAGCAGTGCGAAGAGATAAAGGCTGACGAGGGTGCTATCTTGTCAAGGGTGGTGGCTTCTAAAGTGCTACCATTTAGGCAGAGACTGAAAGGAAGCAAGGGTGAGAGCGCGGGGGGGTGGCGGGGGAGTGTTCTTGGCAGAGGCAACTGCAAGTGCAAGAGCCCAGGAGCAGGCGTGTGCTTGCTGTGTCTGAGGTGTCAACGTCCTGTCACTCCGTGGCTCACTCTCTCATTCACGGGGCAGGTAGATGCCTTCAGGGTCTTTCCTGGTTGGAGATGTGGGAGTGGAACCAGCCCACCCACCAGTCCTGGTCATCACAGGCCTTCAGGTGGGGGCTGAGCTGGGGGGAGTCAAGCAGGCTAAAGTAATGCAAAAACCGGCCCTATACCTTCCCCACACATGCACAGAACAAATGCGTGAGGACCGCATCCTGGTCAGAGTGCCTCAAATCCCTGCAAAAGGAGAGCAGAGGAGAGGGGGCAGTGTGGAGGGCTCCCACCTGCTGGGGAAGAAACCCTGTCGGGTCAGAGTCCTGGGAGGCCTGCTTTAATGAACAGGTAAGAACCCTTTGAACATGGCCTATTTAATGCTGTGAACAATCGGGCACTGGCTTCTTTTCCCAAGTAGATTACACAGTTTTCCTCCCATCAGGCTCAGGGGCCACGTGTGCTTGGCAGATCCACCCATGGTGGATAACTTTAGAGGGAAGCTGGAACCTGGCTCTGCCCCAGTTATGTTGGCTGTCTCATCAGCGGCTTCTGGAGGTGGGCACTTGGCAGCAGCCCTGTGGCTGGGAAGCCCTTCCCCCCATTTGGCTTAAATCCAGGAGGGGGGACTCAGCCCAGGCTGTCCAGAGGGGAAGCAGCCAGGTGGTCCAAGGGCAGCCTGTGAAACACACATTCTTGCCCAGTCAGAGGAATGTGCTGTGGGATGAATGGGCAGGGCCCGTGCCTGGACCACCTGGTATGGAAAGGGGGGCAGAGAAACCTGGTCTTTGTGCGGCCATTTCATGGTAGAGCTGCCTTCTCTTTGGCTGGGCAGAGAAGAAAGATGCCTGTGTAGGGTGGGTGACCCATCAGGACAAGTGGATGGCCCTCCTGCCCTGTGGTTTTTGGGCTCTTCAATTTTGCCTTTGCAGGAGCTAGTACAGTGCCAGGCATATAAGAGACACAGAGGAGAATATGGGGCCATGTGCAGACCCAGTGTGGATATGGAAAACTGCAGGGGTAACACTGCAGCCCTAGACAGCTGACTACACTGGGCCCTGGGCACCCTGGTTCTGAGTGGCCACATAATGTGGTGCCGATAGTAAAATCTGAACCCAGGCCCACATGGTTTATATCTTGCAGCCACTGCTTAGTGGGTTTGGGCAACTTATTTAACTTCTCTGAGCCTTAGCTTCCTCTACTGTAAAATGTGGATAAAAATATTTCCTGACTATAGTATTGTAATGAATGAGATTAAAGCACTTGGAATGGTACCCAGCACATATCGGGCACTAAATAAATATTAACTTTTATTATTTTTATTACTATTTGAGACAGAGTCTCCCTCTGTCACCCAGGCTGGAGTACAGTGGTGCAATCTCAGCTCATTGCAACCTCGGCCTCTCGGGCTCAGGAGATTCTCATGCCTCAGCCTCCTGAGTAGCTGGGATTAGAGGCGTGTGCCACCATGCCCAGCTAATTGTTTTATTTTTTATTTTAGTAGAGACAGGGTTTCACCATGTTGGCTAGGCAGGTCTCAATCTCCTACCTCAAGTGATCTGCCCGCCTTGGCCTCCCAAAGTGCTGGGATTACAGGTGTGAACCACCATGCCCAGCCTAGCTAATTATTATTATCCTTCACTACCTTAAGACCAGAGATAGAACTGATGACCCCAGGTAATTGTCAACTCTGATTCTATTCGTCTGTGATGTCACTAGTAAATAATTCTATTTCTTCCTGGCATTGTTATACTCATGCCATAATTTTATGAGTTGCCAAGTCTGTGGCCTGCCACATGATGGGCCTCAGCCCTGGGGACCCACTCCTCTCCCAGCTCCTGGCACGAGGCACATGAAAGGTCCCCCAAAGACCCTGGCTCTGTGCCAGCCACCCCGGCCAGATGCCTATCCATCTGTCTTGGCCCCCCGCCCCACCCTCACCATCTGTCTCTACCAGTGCCCGTCGGTCTGAGTAGGTCTCCAAGTCAGAAGACAAATGGTCCATTATCAGAGGCCATTGTGGAGGGTGATGGATTGCGCACCATGCAGCCAGGCAGGCTGGGCTGGAGGCGCGGGCACGGGGTACAAATCACCGTGGAATGAATGCCATTCGTCATGGCCTGCTACCTGCAAGGACAGGTGACACCTTCGTGGGCTCAGGGATGTCACTCCTGACATAACAAACACGTTGATAGAGCCTCACTTGGCCTAAGGGCTGGCAGGCTGGGGATATAGCTTTTCTTCTCTGGCCCAGCCTCTGAGAAGGCCTCCTCCCTCCCCATCTCTCTCTCCTAGAACTCCAGACTCCTGCTCAAGGACTTACTTCCCCATTCCCCATCACAGCTGAACCAACTTTGCAGCCAGATGCTGAGGGCTCCCTGTACCTTCCCAGGCTTCCCACTCCTCCCTCCTCACTCCTCCCTGGTCCTTCCGCCAAACCCACCTACTGGTCCTTGCTCACCTCTTGCTATAGCTCACAGCTCTGGCTCTTTCCTGCCAGTTGATACTAGAGTGTCTCTTAATATTCACCTTGAAACTTCCTCCTTCAGGAAGCCTTCCTGGATTCGCACCACCCCTGCCTAGCCTCCCTGCTCCCTCCATCATTATGAGTAATCACTGGCAAGTTCCTTCTCTTCATTCCAGCTATACAGTAAGCCTTTTAAAAGCCTGCTGAGGCTGAGACAGGAGGATCACTTGAGCCCAGATCTGGGCTGCAGTGAGCTCTGATTGTGCCACTGCACTCCAGCCTGGGCAACAGAGACCCTGTCTCTACAAAACAATTTTTAAGAATTGCCAGATGTGGTGGTGTGCACGTGTAATCCTAGCTTCTCAGGAGGCCAAGACGGGAGGATTTCTTGAGCCCAGAAGATCGAGGCTGCAGTAGGTTATGATTGCGCCACTGCACTTCAGCCTAGGTGACAGAGTGAGACCCCATCTCTTACAAAACAGAACAAAACAAAACCTAGTATTGGCATGACACTGTACGGTTTACAGTTTGTGAAATATTGCCATAAAACTTACAAACTGAATCTCATTGAATCTCATAAGAGATCCTTGGGGCAGGTAACAGCCCCCCTGCCCCTCTACACCTGGGTAAAGTGAGGTGCAAGGGCATTTGAGGGTATGCTCATCCCTGTGGCTACCAGTACCCGCCCCAGGCAGGACATGACCAGGCACCTTCTCTGAGCCAGCACAGGAACCCAGGGTGCCTTCTGCAAGTCCGGGGCTTGTTTCTCTGCCACCAGGCTCTCCCTGGTGAACGAACAGCTGGCCAGGAAGCAGCTGCCCTGAGCTGTGGAGGCCTCCTGCGTCCACAGAGCCAGCTTCAGAAACGAATGCCTCCTGCCTTCCTGCAGACACTTGTGTCTGTTCTCCGCTAGCATGCGTCTTGCTCTCTGCCTCTTGGCGAATGCATTTGTGGACTCAACTCCTGGGCGAGATTGTGAGCCCCTCTTGTTTCCCCCAGTGCCCTGCATGGGGCCTGCTGTGTAGTAGGTGCTTCATGGAAGAGTTGCTGTGAATCAAGGAGAGGTTCGAAGACTTAAATGGAAGGTCCACAAGCCGCCTAAATACCCTCAGGTGCAGGGACCCTCTCCATTTTTGCCCAGCAGCAGCCATGCCCAGGACCACATCCACGGTTTTAAAAGACATGCCCTTTGGAGCCCAAAGACCTAGATTTGGGTCCCAGTCACTGCCATGTACTGGCTGTGTGGTACCATGGGGGTTATGTAACTCTTCCGTGCCTCAGTTTCCTCAACCATACAAATGTCGGGCTTTAAACTCTTGTAAGGATGACATAAGATGATTATGCAAAGCACTCTGTTTATAGTAAAATGATGCAGATCCTGGTAATATTTGCAGCCATGCTGTCTTTTCTACTGGAGAGGTACAGAGCACGGTGTTACCACAACGGGAAGCCAGGCTGCCGTGCTCCGCTCAGGGCTCCAGCACTTACTGGTTCTCTGCGCCTCAGTTTTCTTATGTGTAAAATAGGGACAACAGCACCTACTTTAGAAAGACATTGTGCAAATTGGGTGAACATAGCCCCAGTCCTTGATCAGTACCTGGCACATGTTGGCACCGTGCAGTATTACACTCTGGGCATTTTTAGCTGCAGACTGTGGCAGCCTTTCTTCCTCCCCTGATGCCTCCCCGAGTCACAGCTCAGCAGCAAGGGCTGGGGTGTCTTTACCTGTGCCCATCCTGAAGCAGGGAAGTTAACTACTCAGAATCCTTGCTGCAAGCTCCTCCTGGGCCCGCAGATGCTACTAACCAACTGCAGCTCCTTCCCACCAACCTTACACCCAACTGCGGGATCCTTCTCAACACGGTGCTCCGCGGAGACTGAATCGCTTGGAGCTCTGGAGAGGATGAGACTCCGCAAATCCTGCCTTAGGGCATGGTTCTGGGTGCAGGTCCTGGGAGACCTGGGGTGGTGGCATTGTGGCGACCAGAAATCTTGTAGGAGAGGGTTGAAGGGACTCACCTGAGATGTTGCCGGCCAGGGACAGGCTCTCGCAGTGCTGGTCTTGGAGAGAGGCGGAGACGGGGTTCAGCCCCAGAAGGAGAAGGGCCTGCAGGCACAGGAGGTGAAGGACACGTTAGGCAGGGACCATGAGCCATGAGCCGTCTGGCCTGCAGCTGCCTGCTCCCCCTCCCGCCCGTCACCCATCCACTTGCTTCCCAGACACCCGCCCCTCATCTCCTCTCCCCTCACTCTGGGTCCTCTTTGCCTGGAAGGTCTGGAGTTGCCCCGTTCATGGAGGGGCCTGGCAGGGAAGCTGACAGGAACAGGAACCCAGGCTCCTAGGGAAGAGGTGAATTTTGCCCCTAGGGACTGGAGCGCTGCCAGAGGAAGCCCCCTCCATCCCCATGGGATCCTGAGCATGGTCCAGTGGTGTACCTCCACATATACCTGTGCACGCCCCACACCCTCACCGGCCCACGGACCACCGCGGCTTCACTGATCCCCATTGGTGCACCCACTTCCCTCCCTTCCTCCAGAGCTGGCCTCTAATTTTGTGAACTGCTTCCCCAGCCCTCATCCCCACCTGCCTAATTTTCCATCATCACAGATTGTGCTTCATCATTGATCATGCCCTTGGACATCTGCTTCGGCACTAAATTTTCCCTGGGGCTGGTGTGGCTGTGCCTATTTGCAGATGAGGAAACTGAGGCACAGAGAGGTTAAGGGATAAATGTATCTGGAAAGATGGATGCCCTATTCTAGGGAAGACCTTTGCCCTTCAACCTCCCTGAAGGCTCCGTGTCACTCTGAATGCAGAATTTCAGCTCAGGTGGGAGGTGAGTGGCATAGGCCCTATTCCTGGAGGGCTGCCCCTTCTCCCACTAAACCGACCCACACAACCTTCGCATCACCCTCCTCCCTATAGGGTTAGAGTTGAGAGAGACCGAGTGTCCAGGAACCCATTTCACTGTGTTGCCATGGGCAGGTCGCTTGGCCTCTCTGTGCCTCTCTGTGTCCTCACCCGTAAAAATGGGCATAACTGTCCCACCTCCTTTCAAGCTTACATAAAGTATGTATGTAGAAGTCCTCACAGCACTGCACGCTCTGTGAGGGCAGGGATTTTCTTTTGTTCATTGCACTCAAATTTGCTGAAGAAATGAATGACTGAGGTTGTGTTTCTGGTACACAATAGGCACTCAAGAAGGATATGGTGACTGATCTGAACTTGGTGGTTTTTATTTAGTTGTTGGAGGAGAGATGGCTATTTCCCCTGGGATTTGATTCCAAAGGGGTTAAGAAGCATGGGTGAGGAGCAGGGAGAGGGGAGCGTTGTAACCGGCCCTTCCCTCTGGCTGTGGGGAGCTGGGTGCCTGGTTACCAGCGGAGTTCCCAGACAGGATGGTGAGCCCAAAGCCTGAGGTGCCTCAGGGGAGGCCACTCTGCTCATCACCACCTTCACTTCTCTGATGTTTCTTCTTGGGGTCCCCTCCTTCTGAGGCCCCTTGACCCCACGGCCAAGTGTCTCAGCACCAGCCCATTTCTGTACCAACTGCAAATTTCACTAGAGACCTTTAGCTCTGGAAGCTGGCTTAGGATTTCACAGCAGGAAAATGAGATTGGGAGAGAGGTAGGGGCTTGTCCCTCGGTGAGCAAGCTGCTAGGCTAGGGTGTAGGCTAGAAGCAGGGCGCTGGCCAGACCAGGCAGCACGCAGCCTTCCTGCGAGGGGCTGGGACTTCACGTGGTGAGAGCAACAGCGAAGAGAGCATCAAAAAACTTAGTAGGCAAGATATGGAATATTTTCACATAAGTTTTTTAAAATCAAAATTAACAATAGAAAATACATCGAGCAAATTATTGAAAACTTTTTAAAGGAAAGATAGGCTCAGTAACAGTGCTGGGCCATGTAGAAGTTTGGGATGAAAGGGGGAAAGGCCAGCAATGATATTAAAATATTATCTGTCATGGCCGAGTGCAGTGGCTCATGCCTTTAATCCCTGCACTTTGGGAGGCTGAGGTGGGTGGATCACTTGAGGTCAGGAGTTCAAGAGCAGCCTGGCCAACATGGTGAAACTCCATCTGTACTAAAAATACAAAAATTAGCTGGGTGTGGTGGCATGCACCTATAATCCCAACTACTGAGAGGCTGAGGCAGGAGAATCACTTGAACCCGGGAGGTGGAGGTTGCAGTGAGTCGACATCATGCCACTGTACTCCAGCCTGGAAACAGACAAAGACTCAAAAAAGATATATCTATCATGATTACTGAGGTTGCTGGCACCTCCTCTCGTGGTGGGCTTGAGGAAATGCCTCACTTGCTTAACCCCAGGTGGGCCCTGCTCATGCACCGTCTTCCTTCTTCCCAAGCTAGACTCCATCCCTCCATCACTGCCGGTCCCGTACCCTCCAGGGCTGCCCATCCTCTCTTCCCTGGACTGCTCTTCACTGGCCCCTTTAGGATCTCGGGACCTTCCCCCAGTCCTTAGAAGCAAACTGACTCCCTTTTCTATGTTCACCTGCTGGGAATATTCTCCCTTATCCCACCCCACCCCACCCCCCCCCACCAGGGCCACCCCCTTTCATGGTACCCACTCCCTCCCACTGCTGTCCTGATGATGAAGGCAGACTCTGCTCCCCTCTGTCCCACCCACATTCCAAGGTCCAGGGGAATAGTGCCCACTCCTGTTCAGAGCCTGGTCCTCCCACCCATGACTAACCCACATGGTCCCCGGAGTCTGTGGTGCCTGAGTTTGCAGTGGCTTTGTTCACGCCATTCCCTTGCTGGCACTCTCGTAGGGGTCTCTCTGCCCTGGACCAAGCTCCAGGTTCTGAAGCACAACACCAGCCCCCCACCCCCATCCTGTGCTCTGTACACGGGACACTCAACAAGATGGCACTGGGGTTAGCCAACTCGATCCTGGGACTTAGGAGTGATGATAACAAACTAATTCATTTCTCTGGCCTCAAGGAACTTCCAACATTTTATTAATCAGTAATTAAACTTCACAGTCTCCGGAGAGATGGAGAAATATCTTTACCCTCATTTTCCAAGTGAAAACGCAGAAGTAGAGAGAGGAGGAGTTCACCAGGCCAGCCGGTGGCTCTTGCCAGCTAAGCAGAAAGCAGAGTGTCCTCATGACAAAGCTGCGCTGCCTGCTCAGCAGCCGGCAGGGACGCAGACGCTTCCCTGTCCCCAGAGAGGGGCAGCTCCTTCTAGAAGAGACGAAAAATCCTCGCTCCCTGTTTCCCACCCCATATCTCCCCATGCCACCTTCCAACACACACACACACACACACACACACACACACACTCTCTCTCTCTCTCTCACACACACACACACACACACTCTCTCTCTCTCTCTCTCTCTGTCTCTCTCTCTCTCTATGTCTGTCTCTCTCAAACTGGGGCTCCCAGAGCCAGCTCAGCCACAGGCAAATTAAAGAAACTGGTGACACTGGCCAGGTGCGGTGGCTCACGCCTGTACTCCCAGCACTTTGGGAAGCCGAGGCAGACAGATCATCTGAGGTCAGGAGTTTGAGACCAGCCTGGTCAACACGGTGAAACCTCAGCTCTACTAAAAATATGAAAATTAGCTGGGTACCATGGCACACGCCTGTAGTCCCAGCTACTCAGGAAGCTGAGGCAAGAGAATTGCTTGAGCCCAGGAGGTGGAGGTTGCAGTGAGCCGAGATGGTGCCACTGCACTCTAGCCTAGACAACAGAGCAAGATTCCATCTCAGAAACAAAAAAAAAAAAAAAAGAAAGAAAGGAAATAAACTGGAGACATCTCCTGTTTGACAGTATCAGCCCCGCTTCGTGACATTCCACTTATCCATCTCATCCTTAAGCTGTGCTTCATGCTCCAGTCTTTAGATCTCCTGCCTCGAAGGCACATCACCTTCTATTCCCATCCAATTACCATCTCCCCATGTCCAGGTCCTCCTTATGTCTTCAGCCCTCTGCCCCCCACCCTTGGTCACTTGGTCCACTCTGCATTCTTCAGAGACCAGTTCCAGGACCCTTCGCTTGGCAGCACCTGCCCAATCCTCCAAAGCAAAGCAGCTCAGCTCCCCCTCCAGCATACCCTTTTCCCGGTGCTCTGTACACGTGCTGGACCCTGTGCTCATGAGGCTCACGAGTAGAGCCCTTGAACCAGCCCTGAGTGCAGGAAAACCACCTCGGCACAAAGCACTTAGGACCCAAGGCACTAATTAGATGGCAAATATACAGGCTAGAAGTTCTTATTCTCACATCTTAATATCCTGGCGTGCACAGAGGAGCAGAGCAAATCTTGATTCATCAGAAAACCAAGCCAAATGCTAGGCAATGGGCTAGTCTGCCCTTGGCTGCCTAGAACCCCGACACTTCTGTCTCTCTCTTGAATGTGATGCTTCACAAAGCCATTTTCTACCAACAGACGCTTGGTGTTGCATTATGCAAAGAAAAATGCTTCTTAAAATTCCCAGACCAACCTTTCCTCTCCAGAAAGGTCTGCTCTGTAGCAGAATCTGTGCCTGTGCCACCTCTTGCTCTGTGGAAGGTTTGTGAGGGCTTCTGCCTGATTCCTGAATCACACTTCCATGAAAAGTCCAGAGGTTTCCTAGATTTTTCCTCCCACCATCTGCTGGTCCCCTTTTCAAGGTCCACTGTGGTTTTCTGTCTCCAGCAACAGGCAATTACTGCACTGGCAGGGGCAGGGCCCCAAAGTTTCAAGAATGTTGTTTGTTTTCCCTTAAAATGGAAAATTCTGTGTGTGTGTGTATTTTTTTTTTTTTTGAGACAGAGAGTCTCGCTCTGTCACCCAGGCTAGGTTGCAGCGGTGCAACCTTAGCTCACTGCAACCTCTGCCTCCCAGGTTCAAGCAATTCTCCTGCCTCAGCTTCCCAAGTAGCTGGGATAACAGGCCTGCACCACCACACGTGGCTAAGTTTTGTGTTTTTAGTACAGATGGGGTTTCACCATGTTGGCCAGGCTGATCTCAAACTTCTGACCTCAAGTGATCCACCCGCCTCGGCCTCCTAAAGTGCTGGAATTACGGGTGTGAGCCACCGCTCTCGGCAAAAAAAAAAAAAAAAAAAAAAATGAATTCTTAACCTGGGGAGCAGGC